GTTTGCTACTGTTCAGAAGCAAAAAAACCCCTAGCTCTGTCACTAAAACAGAAAACTAACTATAAAATGCACAGGATAGTCTTTCCTGTCTTGTTGACAAGGAGCATACATTTCCAAAATATTGCCTACTCAACCTGCTTTGTTAGGTTCGTATGTGACACTGTCACTCTGAAATGAAGACTGTGCTAAACTGAATGGTATGGAAGCTAGTGGCACTGGAAAAATTTATGTCTGCACGTTTTTAACAGTTTTTTTTTTTTAAACTTACTTTTCTATCGTTACAGACTATATTTATTCTTACTGATTACTGCTAAACATATTCCCCTTAACTTAACTGGTTGAATATTTAAGGCATTCCTCAGCTCACTAACAGAAAGCAGCATTCTACACAAGGCTCTTAAATTAAGAGGCAATGCTGTTTATCCCCGAAGGGAGTCCTGTTCAGTTCCTGGCTGGAAGAGCTGGAATGTATCTGAACTCTGGTACACCTTGAGCACTACTTCTCCCACGGTAATCAGGAGATCAATTAGGAAACCAGCAAAGCTTAATTGCAAGAGAGAATACAAGTTCAAACAGTAGAAGCAGGCCTATTTTATTTGGCTGCAAATAGTCTTAAAAAATCTAAATATGCTCTGAACGATGAAACTAGCCACAAACTCAAATCAACACACACAAGTGTTTTCTGGTTCTACGTCAACATCCTGTTTACAATTCTTACCTTTAAATAATAAACCAAAAGCTCATTTAGTGCAGGGTCTGCATTCAGGTTTACCAGATAACACTTGTCATCCCCAACCTTGATACCTGAAGACTCCAGCGATATTCCCATGCTCTCTAGCTGTCTTTGTCTCTCCTGCCAGCATAAAAACAGGTTAGTCTTGCTTGCTGTAATATGTAGGCACAAGCACACCAAGTAAACAAAAGCAGAGTAACTAAAGTTGAAGATTAACATGCATTTTGTACGTTGCTACCAGAAATAGCATCACACATTAGACAGAAGAAAAGAACCTAAGATAATAGTCAATGGCCAAGTGTTATAGACTTTATTTTTATACACTGAAAATAAATGTAATCCTCAAACTCCTCAAACACCTACTTACCCAAAATGGTGCTTACTTATGCAAGTAGCCCTACCTATCAATTTTATTAGGGCTATTCATAAGTAACAGAATGTGGCTTTGAACCTGCAGGCCAATTAAAAGTCGGTCCAAGTACGTGCAACGATTACAAAGATAATCATATTAATAGATAATTTTGGGAAGAGCATGCCACAGAACAGTGGGGTGGGGAGGGGGTGGCTTTGGTTTGTTTATTTGTTTGGTTTTTTAGAGTGGTTACACAAAAGCACGTTTCTGGAACATTAGGACTAGAAAGGGAAACTAATAATACTCATTTTCCAAGCTATAGATGGTGTAAACAAAAAAATAAACTGAAATCCTAAAATCTTATTTTAAGAAGATAATATCAAGCTACCACTAGTGAATGCACGTATACATTTTGCTCCTCTGGTTAAGCGGCCACTAAAAGCAACAGAAAGTGTAAACAACTGCCCCAAATTCTGATGCTTTTAAAATTGTTGATTTTGTAGTGACTTCACGGAAAATACATTCAAGGCCACATTATGGTCTTGTAAACAAAAAAGTAGCCCAAATATATTTTGATGTTTTGTTTTAAAATTAAATATTAGTTTTCATCAATTATATTCATGACACAACCACATTTATTCTAATGAAACTCAAGACTGAAAAAACGGAAAGTATGAGGAAGAGACAAAAATTCAGCGGAATTTAAAACAGTAGGTGGAAAAGACAACACAGTCCACTGAAGCTCATGGTATTCAATTAGCTTACTTTAAATGAGCACCTGGCCTTTCCTACTTAAGATTTCTGAACTACCTGTGCAATTTCTTCTGTTTTCCGTAACTTTTCTTCCCAGGTGACTGTTAACTCTTTTATTAGTTTTTCTGATTCTTCCAATTTTTCCTTCAGTTCTGGAGCTTTCATGGCCTAAAAGACAGAATTAGTAAAACAGTTAAGATGCTCTTCATCTTCATTTTGCCACAGCTGCTTGTACAGCAATAGAATATCAAACACAGCAAATACAGATTTCAACTTTTTCTCCATGCTTTCATGGTATAAGATGAAAAAACAGGTCAATTGCAAAGGACGAGGACAAAAATCAACCTATAATTGGTCCAGATCTGAAACAGCTGAAGATCTGCACCGCTCCATTGAAGCTACTGGAACTATATAGACTAAGAAAATCTCAGGGCATGGTCACTCAAACTTCAGTGTCTGTATAAAATATCTAACAGCTCTTGAGCCTTAGCTGTCTAAAAAGTTGCTTGTCTTCTTACACTTATTTCAAACACTACTCCTCCTGATATTTAGCCTTCCATTCTACCTCAGTTTTGTAAGCGTCCTTAAAGTTTCATTAAAGCTTTCAGACTGATGATGTTGATTACATCCAAAGGCAGGCATGCATTGGAGCTAACACAGGCTTCATACTTCATTCACAATAAGAAGCAAAAGCTTAAGATTGAAGATTTCCAGTGATTAGGAACAATTCAACAGCCTGGCCTATAACTCACATAACTATTTTGACCAGAAGGGGTAAGGGATGAGAGAAGAAAAGAAAAATCTGGCAAAAATTTGGGCAACTTCCTACCTGTGTTCAGTTACAAACTGCCAACTTACCAGTTGCCAATAACTAAGGATAGTTTACAAAAATATGCTGCGATTTAAAATATGGATTAGAGTACAAATATAGATTTTTAATGAGGAAAAAAGTGCATGGGTCCTTTCTAAGGCAGATGTTCCCATTTCAGCCTTAAATAAACTGTTTATATAAGAAACACTCTTCCTTACATGAATGACAGGTTTAAGCATCACATATTTATGCTGAGATGTACTTAAAGGTTGCTTTTTTTCCCCCCCCTTCCCCTGTGTTTTCCCTGAAAATATCAAAAATATTGCTCTACAGTGCAGTGCCTAATTTCCTCAATCATCATCAAAAGTATTCCTACCCTGATATGTTACCCTCCAACTAGGGTAAACCTAAGGTTAGCAGCAATCACTGTGTTAACTGTCTAGCCAGCAAGGTAGATTGCTAATGGTTTCAGTGTTGCAGTTCTGTCCGTTCTTAACTGATTTTCACAAACATAAAACACAGAAGTGTTCCACATATTTTTAGGTCCAATACCAAACTTAGTTTTTCATACTTTTCCATTTGACATCATACAGTTATATACTCCATCAATTCAAAACAAAACAAAAAAACCACACACACACCCAAACCCCACACTTTTGCTAATAACTCTATATTATGAGGTTGTATGACAAGTCTTATCTGTGCTGCATCATTTATTGATTGACATGAAATTCTTCAGAAACAGTCTATTCTATATACCATCTGTACAATGTTGTCCTCATTTAAAAGGTATTAAAAATGAGGAAATAGTATGTTGGATCTATTTCAGGAAACAAAGTTAATTATTTAAAATTGAATATAACACTCTTCCTTTCCTTATTTTGTAAGACTTCAATATCAAACCAATCTCCCTGTCAAAGTCTGTGACATTTCCTCAAATAACTCACTTCATACCATACTGTAAGTAAAGTTACCTCGGCTTGTGAGAGCTGTTCTTTCAGTTTTTCAACTTCTTCACGTAATTCTCTGATGACCCTAGCATTAGGATCTTCATTCACCACAGCATGATTAACTATCCTTTTGGCTCTGTCTGCATATCTTAGAGTAGAGAGCGTTTCTTCGTAATTGTCTGCTGCTGGACTAATTGTGGCTATCATAGCAGTTTGACTGTTTCCTCCTAAGTTGTCCTGTAGGGCACATTCACAGAAAGTTGAAGGATTAAAAATTGTTCTGTAACTATAAAATGTCTTTATAAAAGACATTTAAAATACAAAGCTTACTATTTAGACACTGAAATACACTGATTAATTTACATCCAAATATGATCCATAAACATTTCCAACCATCTCCATCAGCTTTGATTCCGCTATAACTTAATATAGGCCAAATAAGACTGTACACGGAATTACCACTGTTTACACTAATCTCTCCAAATTACTTGGAATAACTTGTAGATGTGAGAGCTCCTTAGTTCACTTCTTACCAAAAAATAAGTCTATATTCCACAAACTCTTAAGCTGACAGATTGTGAACAGAGTATTAATTACCTTGAGAAGCCAAGTGAGTACCGAGTCTCTGTAAGGCACAAACTTGTTTTTCCCCTTCCCCGCTGCTTGGTCAGCGAGTGATGATATAACCAACCCCAGTGTCGAAAGCGATCTATAAAGACAACACAGTAGAATAGCTTTGAATACGTATTCCAAATGTGGATTTAATAAAACACAGAGGAGGGGGTTTGCTAGAATTCAATTTGTGCTCTCCAGAAATTCACATCCAGTTTTTAAAATACCATAGAACAATTTAAGTTGAAAGTGACCGCAGGAGATCAGCTAGTCCACAATCCTGCTCAAAATACGACGGGATATCTATTAAAGTTAGATATTTAGATCAAAACCAAATATCTAAAATGTTTCTTCTCATCTCATAATAAGACCAAATCCCAGGAAAACTAAGTTAAAGTATTCAGGTATTTTTAAAAGTTTGAAAAGATGACTGTTTGCACACATGACTGCTTCAGTACATGGAGAGTTACTGCCTTAGATTAGACACATACTGTTTCTCAGAGACTAAAAATCTTTCCGTCCTGGACACTCTGCCTCAGGATATTATTAAGAGTCAGTGTTGGCAGCACAACAAAAATACCTTGTCGCTATGAAAAACGTTTTAAGAGCACTAGCTTAACAACAGACTAAAACTAAACATTCATAAGGAGATGACCTCAAGACAAAAATAGCTATGGCCCAGTAGAACTAGTCTGCCTTGGTGGAGTGCTAACTAACCTGCCATCACATGATAGCGGAGGACTGCTTATCAGAAGAGCTTCATTTGGAAGTCCCCCGACAAACAGATTGACTTATAACTGAGATGGTGCCTCACTAGCTTTTTGGAAAAAAGCAAAGACCAAACAGTGCTCAAGTTACCAAAATGCTGCATGAAAACAAGCACGAGAAGAAAGTCTATAGTTGCTTAGCAGGCAGCCACATCCCAAATGACACTCTAGAAGAGCAAAGAGAATAAGAACTTGTTCATCTTATAACTTGTACCGCTTCTACCTAAAAAGAAGTTGTAAGTGTATCAGCAATCTTTGCAAAGCATCTGTGTATACAACTGTTATACAACGCTGTGTGAACTATAAAACAACAGTGAGGATCTTGAGGTGAGTATGTTTAATGAGCTGGTCCAGGATCCTGAGAACATTTGTATCAGATGCCTAAAGAGTCCTAAAAGAGACAGTGCCAGAGCCCAACAGCAATATTGGTCCCTCATACTAAGGTCCAATTATCCAGCAACTTCTCATAACTATCAAGGAAACCTTTAGCAGAGTTGTGATTAGAAAGTCAAATAAATCTTTGATGGTGGTACTTCTCCACTCCATTCTTTTGAGCTTGTCTTTCGAAGATGTAGTACTCCTTTAGCAGACAGGCAGCGTATGCACACTAACAGGGGTCTTAAAGCTGTTTGAGACTACTGGTGGTTCATGAAATAAAGTTTAATAATCTTTTGCAACACTTGTAATGAAGGAAGATAGGTTATGGCACACAACCATTACACGTCAGAAAAGATGTCCCGTATTGCATAGCAGAAGGAAACAAAGTGGCATGAAGATAGCTTAGACCTGAAAGGAGAGCTAAAAGGAAAAGAAATGTAAGGAGAGGCTAGTCAGCATGATCACTTGAGCAAGCACTCTTATTTTGTAAATTTGTCTATCAGATACATTCCCAATGTATGCCTGAAGAATTCACACAGCAAAAAGGACAGCTAGGTATCTGCAGAAACAAAAGCCTAACAGCTTCGGAAAGGCTGAGGGACAGGGCAGAGAATTAGTTGCTGACTCCAATCTCCCCTTTCCACAGACCAAAATGACAGCAGGCTAAACATGGAGGAACAAACAGGAGGGTGCTATACGCTGCTCTGTAGCAACCTCCCACCACACAGCTCATGAGCACCAACAGCATAGGCCCAGTGGAGTCCACCTTCAAGAAGCATCAGGTCGGAAGACCACCCTAACCTATTTTCCTCTTTGATTCCTCTTTCTCTCTTAAAATGAGGAGAAATGTGAAAATAGAAGCCAAAAACTGGGGGAAGGGGAAGAACAAGGACATTTTCTCACTCGGGGTGGGGGATGGAAAAAACAGGGATTAGAAAAGGTCTGTCCTTGAAAACTGTTTCACAACAGGGCGGTAACACCGGTTCCAGCTATAGACACAGTATTTTAATAAGTGAGCAATTATCAGTTTATTAACACAGGATTAAAAGATGTGATAATATTTTTGCTTCTTATAAACATTGATTTTATTTTAAGAGTAAGTGCTAACATACACAATAAAAACGAGACTGCAGTCCTTTAGAGTACTCTGCTTGAGACTGCATAAGACAAAGCTGTTGTTTAAGGACTATAAGAAAAGCACGAAAAGAAATAGCTGCAACAAAATAATTACAGGACTCAGCGGCTGCTTTGCTTCATGCTAAATGATGCAGAGACCTGTCATTACGTTGATCCTATCCCATAACGCTTACATAATCAATCAACCAAAAGGCCTCAGCTAAGAGCACCCAACAGACTGAGGCAGTTGGGAAACCAGAGTGAGTTTACACAGTGCAGACCATGCACCCATTCCTTTCCTGTAAAATTCCCATTTTCCATGTCTCTTAAGCGCAGCCAGGCTCCCTGCTACGGTGTGGCTGGAGGCTTGCACCCTCCCAGCGCGGGCCTGAGTCAGCAGCGTTTGAGGTGAGGCAGCCATTCCTCACTACAGCGAAGGACTCCTGTCCCTAAATGACACACATTCAAGCTACTTTCATATCATCTCCATCCTCCTTCTTTAATAAACAGAACTTTTATTTTTAACACTAAATACAAAAATTTTCCCTAAAATCAGTTTGAAGCCAAGTTCTCCCCTATCTTTAAAGGCTTCTTTTCTCATTAAAATGAGAGTGACTATGATTTTACTAATCAGAATTAAAATTACAGACTGTTTACAGAAAATATCCTCCGAGCCACTAATTGACAGCTTTTATATTCTGCCTCCTCCTACTCCAGTACTCTAGAAATTCTTGGATTACACTGCAAAGAGCTGTTAAGCACCTGTGTTTCTAGGCTCAGCGCAGGAACTAGCACATCCTGGGGGAGCAATGGGCACATCCAGCTTTCTTATGAGTTATGGTAAGCCCCTTAGGAACCGCAAAAATAAAGAAGGCAGACACCCAGCACCTTCCTCATGACCCAAGGGAATCCTGCAGCAGCTCAAAGGCAAAACAGAAGTAATCTTTGTTACAACTTTAAGGAGCCATTGATACAAGTCACATAACTCAGTTGTTTCAGTAACTAGGCAATCCATCACTTCCCATCTGCAACACCCTGTCCCAAGATAGCTGAAGCTGTGGGACTGAAAAGAAGGCTAACATACTTCTAGCCTGCTTTCATACAGAAACAAAAGGCAAAAGAAACCTGCAGAGACTGGTTGAACATCACACTATACAGCTTTGGTATGCACAGCTGAAGTGCATGTTTTCCCTTTCTTATAAATACAGAAACAGGTATGTTATTTCCACATTCTTCTTCAAGGCAATAAAACATAGCGCAAGCAGCAAATTTATTTGTCAGGTAATTTCAGCCACTCCATTTTTGATCTCATAAAACATCTAGCACGTGCTAACACAACCCAAGATGCTGCTTATTTATTAAAACAAAAAAAATCACTTGTCAGGGAGCTGACATAGCAAGGTATACAGCTTAAGCATTCTGTATTACTCCAGAAATGATTATTACCTTTTCCTCATAAGTAAGGTGCATCTTACACATTACCCAAAATAAGATTTTACTCAGTGCTATGCGAGGAGCAACTCTGACAAAAGACGTAACTGCTGGAAATACACCTTCGTTACTGACTGAAGTGCATTTTCAGAACAAAAGAGAGGGGGGAAAAGAAAAATCTCTTTCCTCGTGCAAAAACATCACTTTTCTTCCAGAAAGTAAAACAAACACCAGTTCTGAGGCGTCTAGTAAAAGCCAGCCTTCATTAAAGCTCCAAGGAATAACAAAGATGTAATGAAGGACACTAAAGCACAGCACTGTAAGAATTCTCTTTTCCTTACCAGTTCAAAGAACTATTTCAAATAGAGAATGCTTAAAAATGGTTGAAGCAATACAGACTTATACCATCTAAGAATTTAACTGAGGGGAAAAGTATAGACTGTCTACTTTTCTTTCTAAAATATGTTTACTAGAAAAATTAAGTGCTTTCAATCACAAGTCCAGTATCATTGAATGCATTGAATCAGCATGGGCAGACCAACGCTCCTAATACCGTTACTGCATTAATGCCCTAAAGTTTCAACACAGAGAAAGCACCCTATTAGAAAACGTTAAGTCTTTCTGTATCTATAGCTATACTTTGACTTTGTTAGTATCTGTTGTAAGAGTTGGTATTTGAATTCTTCCCCAAGGATCAAGAAGAAATATTTAGTTTCACCTTTGCTTATGCATAAGACAAATACAGTTCCTTGTCTAACTGATGTGAATTTAACTACTAACCTGGACGGTAAAGGTTCAATGCCCGCTATTAGCAAACCAGAATCATGTCATTTCATAGTAATATGCCAGCCTGGCTACCAGTATGACATAATAAACACTTAATAAATTAGAAGTTACGCTATAAAGAACATGTTCAAACTCCAAAATCAGGTAACTTAAAATCATTTTTAGCACGAATGCTGTTCAAACACACTTTTTGTTGTCTCATTAATTTAGAATAACAAAACCAAAAATGTTTATTTTGCAACATTTTAAAATAAAACTACTACTTTTTCAATTTAAATGTATAGTTTAACTAATTTTTCCCAGGAAAATTAGTATGCTTAAGACAGTGGTAATATTGTGCTAAATTCTTGCTTTTGGGAATAACACAGTAATCACGTTAAAAAAGCACCTTGAAACTTGCCATTGCTTGAGTGCAAATGCCCAAGGCAATGTTAAACTTACACAGCTTCATTCTAGCCTGTTTTTTTTTTTTTAGCTGTGAATTATACTCTTACATATTTTAATACAGGTTGGAACAAAGCCATTCAACTCTGCAACTTCACATTCTTCCTTGGGCATACGATGAGACAAACACATGAGCCTGGGGACAGGGTGTATAAATGAATCACAAAAGGTATACGCTTAATTAAAGAGTATTGCTGCCACTTTTCCAGATAAAATTCACGTAGCCCTCATCTGAGTCAAGTATGAATCAGGGTCCCTATGCCAATGAAAAGAAAACACATGGTATTTAGCACAGAGCACTGAAAAAGATATATTTAACTGGTTTGGACTAGGTACACTGTTTGAACTGACTTGTGACAACCACACCAGGATAAGAGACCAATGAAACAACAGTCACCCTTACAAGATTAAGTTCTGCAATCCGCATACGTCGATGCCTTACTTGTTTATGTTGCTGCCTTCCTTTAGACGTTCTCCTGCAGCTCCCGTTTTGGACACTCTCTCGCTACCAGCCAAATCCACCAGGCTGACCTTACTGACCTTCTCTCCAGAATTCTGCAGAGATGAAACATGGGAGGAAAACAGCAAAGAATATGAGAACAGAGAAACACTAACAGATATGCTATTAGCACCATTAAACACTGCTGTTCATAATACTGTAGGTTAAAGTACCACATTAAACACCTAAGAGGCAGGAAATCTTTAATAGTCACACATATTTTTTATTCTACACTAATGAAACAGAATCAGCTATGTTGTAACTTTAATAACTTTACCGGAATAGCAGGCCATTAAAACATACTAGCTTCAACACAACAGTTAACACCTAAGATAGGTTTCACAGGACAATCTTAAAAAGTGATCCAACTTTTTGCTTTATCTGGTTTGCCTCCTCATTCTTCCAGTGTTCTCTCAATCTTATGTTCTTGCCAGTACCACTTTTATTGCTGGGCCCTACGGCATTAAAGTGTAGCAGCGCTGCTAAACAAAGCATGTACGTATACCAAGAAAAACAGTGAGTTATGTTAAAGACTTGAGAGAAAGCAAGAACAAGTCAAAACAGCAAACATTTTCCCTTCAACTACAAATCAAATTAAAGATATTGTAATATCATATGGCAAATTATCCCTGCAAAAATACGTTCAAGGGTCTTGGAAGTTGAGGTAGCTTCAGTTTTAAAATGGTAGATGTTTGTGTCTTTAGAGCTTTATCCTAAATTAAGTGATACCACCGATACATCTACCAGAGCACCCACTGGAGTAGCAATGCTAAAGGTGCTTCTTTTAACTTATCGTTGCTCAAAACAAACTGCAAGCATTCAGTGGCCGAATGGAGGAAAAAGAAAAAATTCACTGCAACTTTATAAATGAGCCAACAGAAATACATACACCAGACTGCAGGTCATACAGCGTCTGAGTCACTATAATATTGAATACAGCATGAGAGCGGCTGCTTTCTTCATTCATGTTGGTTGCAGCAACTGTTCGAGATTTGTTTCCCTCTGACATCAGTGACTCAATATCCTAAAGCAAAAAGAGTAAAAGGTAATGCCAGGATAAGAGTAAGTGTTGTGCTTGCTGAACAGAAATCCCATCTAGACGGAAGGGTGTGTACGCGTGGGAGAGAAGAAGAAGAGAAGGCAGAAGTAACAAAAGACGCCTTTGTACGTTTTGAGGTGTATAGGTACAAAAAGCATGCAGTTCCACTGAATGAGGTTAAGTTACACAATGTGTTGAATGCTGCACTTAGAAGCCCAGGAACAACATGCAATGCACGTTCTCCTGATCTGCCGCTGAAATATGCCGGCAACATCCACATTACAAATCACAGTTGTTTAATGATTGTAATCAAGCCAGCACAGATCCACTTACATAAATGGACGCAGTGAGCCTCTTCAGTGACCTGCGCTAATACTTTCTTCATTTAATTGGTTCACTTGGAAACTGTACCTTTCTACACACATAAGTGCAAAGATGATTATGCCAAGTCTGATATATGCACTTGCTGAGTTTTTCAAGACAGTTTACATAAGTCATCAGCCAGAAGCCAGGCATTAACAACATTCCCTAAATCTGAACAAATCAGACACGCTTTCAAAGCACGTAATTCACCATCAGAGGTGTGAAAGCAGTTTATGCTTTATAGTAAGCCTATAGATGTCTCAGAAAATAAAATTCCTACAAAGAAAATAATTGGTCCACATATGATACCACATGAACCATTTAACATAGCATTTTTAGACCAACATTTCCTAAATTAGCTTCCTCAAAAAGAAAGGTCTATGCAATTCACATAACAGCACTGCTTTATTTCCAGTGTAGCTATCATTGGCTTCTACAATATCAACATACATTTGAATAAATTAGCAATAAATAAATTATGAATGATACAAGCTATATTGGACATCCTCATACAATTAATATCTGTAAAAAATAGGTTGCATTAAACGGACAAAAAATAATTATCCTTGCCAGAATACTTAATATTTTTGTTTTGTTTTGAAAGCCTCAGCTTTCCTGTGCATTTTATGCTTTGTATCTAGCCTATAAATTGAAAACTCCAAAATAAAGACATGCCACTGCCATTATATTTTTAACCAATGTAAAGTAGAACCTAATGCTTTTAGATGAAATACTCCTAACCATTAAAGGAGATCTTTGTGATTGTCAGAGACTACATATACTCTTAAGAACCAAAACAGCTGCATATGGATACTAGTTTGTCACAAGATTTCCATTGCTCATGTACACAGATGTCATTTATTCACTTGTCAACAGTTTCAATTTACCTCAAAGTTTGTAACAGCCAGCTGAGACAAGCCATCTACATATGGTCCCAACACCTTGTGCTCTCGAACCTTAAGGGACTGCCGACTCCTATGGAATAAAATAGATCTTATGCACCATCCACTAGAGTGAACATTATTTACTCAAATATAAAAATAGTAATTTAAAATGACAAAAAGCATCTATAAGCTGAAACTAACCTGCTGCATCTTTTAATCGAAATAACAGGAGGAAAAAGGCTTCCAGAAAAAAATCTCAAAACTGACAATAAAGAAACAAATTAATCTAGTAGACTTCAATCAATGTACATGAATTATTTTTTTTAAATGCCTCACACTGCCACCACTCCCCAACTTGTGACTAGAACAAAATCTGAAGTGCTTCATTTGGCAAGTAGACTTATTGACAAAAACGGAAACCAAAATGCCCCCAGAAATTTGCTCAAGCTTCAATTCTTCATGTGTTTCCCACATCTTATTGAAATATATCAATGCAAGTCTAAAATCCACCTGTAAACTAACTTGCACAGTTATGCACCTGGCAAAATCAGGCTCAAGAATCAACATTTATACCACATATATCAATACTCAGACTGAAAAAAAAAACTATGAAGATCTCTTATCCAGACTTCTCCAAGCCAGAAAACCAAAGCAGTATTTTTGTACAGACAAAACAGAAGGAAGAAAGTGTCGCATGTACATTCTGAGGTGTTAGCCTTCCCCATTTGGAAAGATCAACTCCTAAACCAGGAAAATCAAGTTGGAAACAAGCTTCAAACTCTTTTTAGTTTATGAATATTCTCATTTGAATGGAGTCTTGGTCATATGGCAAAAGACAAAAAAAAAAAGCACTTATTTGTACATAGTCTTGTTTTCTGGTGGGGAACTGCTGCACGTGGTATTTATTCACATCATGATGTGGTTATCCTAATATTTAACATGATCCACAGCAGTTACTATCTAACATGCAAGCTTTATAAGAACATTCTCTTCTTTCTGATGTTTAGAATAAGATCCTTTCTAAAGGAGCCATAGAAATAAATTCTGAAAAACCTTCTCAAAAACTTCCAAAAGTGATTTCTACTTCGTAGTTTCAACTACGAATGAGGAAGATGTTGGGAGCGGGTGAAGCTACTCACCCTTTCGGATCAAGTAGATCTCTAACCTTCTCATTGTAGATTTCCATATAGGATACTTCAACTTTAAAAGTATGAGATTCATTTTCTTCCACAGAGATTCTCTGAAATAAAGCACAACAGAGCCGTGGGATCAGACCCAGCTGCTCTGCATTGCCCATCATTGAAAAGGATTTTCCTGAACCTAAGGGAAAAAGGGAAAGAAAATGCTTGAGAATGCAGTTCGAGTTACTCATTTGTTCACGAAGTACATATTTTTAATTCTCTCTATATTTCTCCAGAAACACATATCAGAACTTGACATGCTATTCCAGACAGGTAACTTGCTCCTTGGACTTCTAAATGCAGGTAAACAAATAGATTTTTTTTCCCAAGATTCCCTTCAGCAGGGTCATTATTTGGCACCCTTTTTAACACTTAAACATACAAAATGAGCCTTGGGTGTGAACTACTTTCAGACTTTGAAAGTGGCTCCAAGAGGTAACAAATATGAATATATTTACAGAGGTGCGTTAAGTGCATTACATTGTCACTGGCTTCGCTGAGCTCATTGTGTTTACGCAGGACATCAATTTCCAAAGCAGTGAAGCAAATACAAACCAGGATACAACAGAAAACAGAATCCTAATAAACAGTGAAGTTTAACTTTGTAATGTTTCTAAAAAAATAATTTTTTGATATTACCTAGTTTAGTTTTTATGTTCTATTCCCCCCACCTCATACACGTACACAAAAAACTTTCCCCTCATTTACCAGGGGAGACTCTCTCACCTGTCTGTCCATAGGCAAAAATACAAGCATTATATCCCTGAAAGGCCTTTTCAAGAATTCCTTCTCCAAGGCACTTGAACACCACTTCTTGACCTACAAAATAATAATTTTAAAAATTCATTTAAAAAAAAAAAAAAGGTTACATTTTACTGAAAGCAAGAATTCAGAAATTAATTTTGCTGTTGAGCACATAGGCAAGGAACAAGCAAATGATTTCACATGCAACTGAATGGCTAAGTTCAAATCTGGCTGCTTAAAACTAGTGTAATAACTATCCACGTGTTTAAGTATATTGCTTACTTTCTTGTGAAGCAGTGGTTTAAGTTGAATGCTTAGAAAATAACGTAGATTTTGTATTATTTAAGAGTAAGTTTTGCAATAAACGTGTTCTTTAACCACAAACTAAACTGAAGAGTTCTGTAACAATTACAGAAAAAAATATTAGTGAACTATGATATTGTATCTACAGCAAATATTATACTAGAAGTAGTACTAGCTTTTCTCTTAGGAACTGGACTTACGTCCAGTTACGTTTATTTTCCTTTAATTTCTCCTTTGCCATAAATGAAAAACTATTGTAGCAATGCTGTATATAATGGTCCTTGTATATCTTCCAAAAGGTTACTGTTTCTTGAACTAGCCGAGTTCAAATTAACAGTTCAGACACACTGAATACAAGAACTAAAAGCAGAGGAGAATCTGCTGTACTCTCAAACACTTCCATCTCCACCCTAGCATCTTTTTGTTCAGTTTATGATTATTCAGTCATTTTATAATATGTTGCGTGATGCATCATCCAACAATAATTATCCTGTCCAGCTCAAAACAAATCATGTTCTAGCATATCAGTAGTTAGTAGCTTGAAATAATCAACAACTTCCTTGTTACAAGCAAGAAATTTTTCACAAATTTGTCACAAGAAATGCTTTTAGTCACAAAGACAATCTTTTCCTATAATATTGCTGAAATTCATGCTTTTTTCTTTTTTTTTTGCTACCAAAATATCAACAAAACCAGACTCTTCATGGCTGTAATGCTTGCTCCTTTTTAAAGCTTATTTCGTGCTTGATATATCTTCGACAATTATGCAGTTCCCTCTACAATAAAATACGTTGTTCTATCTTTCTCGGATACTAAGAAAATAGATATAGAAAACATTAACAAACTACCAAAGATTGAAGAAATATATCAGTGAAAAGGTTTAATAAGCGTGTACAGTGCATAAACCTGCTTTCCAACCTACTGCCAAGGGCATATTTTGAAGTTACCAAAGCAGCAGGGAGCCACTTATTGTCCTGCTGAGCAAGAATCCAAAAATCAAACAAAGATTGAAGCTGAGTATCATTATTAAGAGAGGAAAAATTAGAATTCTTCAGATTGTGAGAGGAGAATAAAATCATTTGTCAGAAGAGGAAAAAAACCTGTACTACTCATTTTTGACCAGTAACACAACAGAACCTCCTCCCTGTTTCACGAGGGCAGGGGAAGAGACCAAGAAGTTATAAAATAGTACATGGCCACGATAACAATAAAGTGACCTACAGAATCTCTTAAGAATAATACAGGAGAACGAGCCCAGTCTAAATCTCAAAGGCCAAGCTGGATTTTTTTTATAGAAAAGATTTAATCTTCAAACAATCATCTCTAAAACTGAAAGCCATTCAGACAGTGACATAGAATTTTAAAATGATATTTTTAAAGAATTTTATGAGCAGAGCTATACAAACACAGATGAATAGGTCCTTAAAGAATAACATTTAGCCTAAACAGTTGAATTATCATGGGATAAAATAAAATGTGTTTTTAAGTGCACTCATAAAAGAACAGAAGAATTCAATTTTCAAATCACGGGTTTTTTATTCTTTTGCTAATGCAGTGCACTGTTGAAGTTAAGAGCATATAATCCAGGAAATTTGGAAATATTTTTCATGAAGAAACCTGCCTTCTTCCTCCAGGCATTTCACTAGTGGGTTTTGTAAATTGATTACGAAATTTGTAAGAATTTGTATAGAACTATATTTATGTGCACTTATGGTCAAAGGAAATAATGCAGTTCCCTTATCTATATTACTACATTTTGGTTTTGGCTAAATAATCTTACCCTACCACAGTCAATATTCTTGCTTATTTATAGGAGCTTTCTCCCACTGATACCTAGCTTTTCTTTTAAAAGAGGTGAGCAAGAAAAATTAACTCATTTCTAACTTAACTTACCAATACAGAAAAATATCTACTTTCCCCTATATCTACCTGTACTCTCTTCAAAACAGGGACTGACAATCCTCCAGCTGGGTAAGACCATATATCCTCTTGCAGACGCAACTAAAGGCTGAACATCAAAACATCTGGTTCCCTTGCCCATCTTCTGACTAAAGCATGGGCAAGTCTTAGATGACTGACACATCTGCAGTCAGGCTGGGGAAAGCACACCCAAGGCCTCCAGAAAGCCCAGAGTGAGCATGTGAGCTGCCAGCTCTCACAACCCAGCATCTCCTGTCTGCCCACCCCTTAGAGGAAAGGGGAGAAAAGTCTGGTGAATTTTTCTTTGCAGACCAAAGGCTAAATAACCCGATTTCAGGACCAAACACTTTCTCTCTCAAGGAATAAGGCTTAACCTGGAATCATTTTCAGACAATGTTGCTGTATGCTCTAGAACTCTAGTTCCTGCACACCTAACAGTTCAGCTAACAGGGCAAGGTGAGAAATCCTTCTGATAACGTGCTTTTAGCGATGCACTCGTGATGAAAACCCGATAAAACACTGGTGGATGACCACTCAATTCTGAAGACATACTAGAAATCAAAGTCAGGACAATATGGAAGCCTTTTTCACTTTTACTAGACAACTGTAACTATCTTCATACCTTTAAGCCGTTACCTGTGCCTTTTGGCAAGTACAACTACAAGCCTGTTGCCAGCTGTAGAAAAATCTAAGAAAGATCAAATAATTAACTCTCAATATGCTAGAAGGCCACTTCCAGTATGAGACCAACCCAAGAATCTTTTCATCAGCACTTTGGACTATATTTCTAACATATTTAGTTCTCTGCCATGCTATGACATTCTTCCATAAAAACAGACAAAAAATATTTCTTCTTTAGCAATAACCATACTTAAGCTATTGAAGGTTTCAGCATTCTAAATAGTTACAGTGATTTGTTATCTGAATTTTAAAGAAAACTAATCCTCTCCTCAGAACTACATCCTAATACACGGGAATTTCTGGAACTCTCAGATACCACCCTTGTGATCCCACGCATCATGGCAATGTTTCTTAGCTTCCCGGTGACGCACTACTTTTTCACATGTTCTCTAGCTACTGAAATAGCTGGGTATTTTAAAGGTAAAATTATAAGATAAAGTAAAAATAGTGACGTCAGCAGTGTACATGCTAACAATGGCTAATAAATTACTAATAAATCTAAAATAAAACTTTCACATTGTCAAACTGCAGAGCTGCACATGTAAATCTCTTAGCTGAAACGTCTAAGTCAGGACCAACTTTTAGAACATTCTATTATCTTACATATTTTCCTGCTTTAAAAGTCCTGGAAAAAATTAAGATAGAACAATACCCCTACATGCAAAAACACTACAATACACACCATTTTCAGAATGAGACGTTTAAGTATTTGATTTATCAACATATTTTGCCATATTTTGCTCTATGCTCTTTCCCCTTTGCATCCTCCAAACCATTCCCATACAGATTCCGAAGCCCTGATTTTGCACGGAGATCCAATTTGGACACACCTCTGTTCCCCTAGGAAAATCTACACATTGCAGAGGAACCCTAGGATCTGTTCTCACAACCTGTAAGATGAAGCCAATCATATTTACACATAAATTGTATATATTCTCAGATCACTGGACCAGTGACAGGTACTAGAAGGAAAAGAGAGGAGAGAGAAGAAAAGGGATTGGAGGAATAAAGGGACACTTTCCAGCAAAATACCATTTTTAAAAAGGCAGTTGATATTTGCAACCTTTCATAAGCTATACTCATTTAGTGACAAACCCACATTTATTCAAGTTTTCAGGAACAAAAAAATAATTTTAGTGTGGTTTTCAGAGGCCTAGTGTTTCTATATCACAAGAACTTGTCAATCGGAAATAACAACAATTGTTTAAGGCCTCCCATCATATTAGTACAGATTTCCTCAGCCAGGTTATAACTACAGCATTATGACATCTCACTGCAGTTCCTGGAATTTCTCAAAATAAATGACAAAAATCGGTAGAGCCAAATGACAGCTTGTTACATACAGCACTGAAAATTCAATCTGGTCAAAGTCGCTTTATTTATGGGTAAATCTCTAGCCCAGTTGATGTTTAGGGCTAAAAATAAATAAATAAATAAAAATAAAAGAAACAAAGCAAACATTTTAGCAAATCATGGCACGGAGAATTATGCTTAGTACTGCAGCCCTAAGTATTTCCAGCCTTACTCCTGCAGTCCAACAAGAAACTTCTTCACAAAGTAGTCGCAATGCCATATATCAGAATACTTGTGGTTCTGACTGTTAATCCAGATTTGAGGTTCCCATTCATGGCCCTTGCTTCCTATCGGGATTTACTGCTCCCTCTGACCTGCTGGGATCGCTGCATAACATGGTTAGTTACTACCTGCTTCTGTTCAAAAGCTCCAGATCAGTTAGTTTCTATTGTTTTTCTAAACCAAGTAATATGTATAGAATCAGACTGGGGATCAACTACAGATGCAGTTACTCTGGCAGATCTGAGGAGAGATAAGCTTTAGCTGGAGTAAGGAAGGATAGCAACGAGTATCTGAACCAGATGATTTCTCAAGCCAAAACATCAGCCAGAACACATCCGAGTATGGCACATAAATCTGAATGAAACAGCTATATAGTTTATGCATACTACACCATAAAATAAATTGGAGGGCTAATAGGAACCGCTATGTTGCTTCTGGGTTAGGGTTTTTTTTTTTTTTTTTTTTTTTTTTTTTTACAAACACGCTAGCTCACGTTTTAATAAGCAAATGCCAACAGCAACAAATTGCAGTTAGTTCAATGAACTAATGGTTAAAGGTTAAAATAAAACTTGATCTGCTGAGATCAGAATTACTGA